GTGGATGTGTTGATTGGATCGGGTGTCATGTTCTGACACATACATTGGATCGGGTGTTACGTTCCGACACATATATTGGATCAGGTGTCACGTTCCGGCATACTAATTGAGATCGGATGCCACGTTCCGGTACACTAACAATTTGGGTATGGGTTCCATGAGAGGACCATTGAATTGTCATATTTACTTGTTATTGAGAATGTGGATTTGTACATTGCTCTTGAAATGATAATTGTGTATATATTATGTACGTGTCATGTTTACTATGTTGTGACTGCCTATATATGTTTCATTTACTGGAATAGCCGTGTGATCCTACCAGTATATTGTGGTTGTGTACTGATACTACACTTGCTCGTTCTTTGTTGAGTACAGGGCATCTTTAGGAGGCTATTGATAGACCTCAGCTATGTTGTGACTACCTATATTAGTTGTTTTGTTAAACTCCCGGAGTTTATGGGAACTCTTTATTTCTTTTGTCATTTAAACCTGCTTCCGTATCTTTAAATGCCTAGCTTTTCATTAAGTTGTTTAGTTGAGTTGTAGTAGTGGTTCTCCCATTGGAGGGTTAGTGTGGGTGCCAATCACGACGGTCTGGGTCGTAACAAATATATATCCTAACAATCTCCCACTTAGATATTTAATCTTGAAAATTATCAGAATACTATTTCTAAACACATGATTAATAGTATATATCCCTACAGAACGCATGGTGAAACTTCACCTAAAAATGACTTGCTAAAAATATTTGAAAATCTATGGCCAAACGCTAGTTATATCTCCCTCAAGTCAGATAGACCTAGATACATGTATTGTTGCTATCAGATACATTCTTAAATACAAATACATAGGGAAAAAGGCAGACAAGAAAGTAGGGAGGTGAGTGAGAGAATTTGTGTATCTAAAATACATGTGAGTCAAACTAAATTAAAGGATAAAACACCTTTTAATATACATTAAGGATCATTTCAATCACAATAAAATATATCAAGAATCAAAATAAAGCAATACATATACCTTAAAGATCATTTTAAGTGCATTTTGTTAGCCATGTGTATCCGCAACTAACTTAACAATTTTTCCTAGATAAAAATGTTAAGTTTTAGAATAAAGGTATACTTATAGAAATCTTATTAATTTAGGAGTTAATTACTTAGATACACGTTAGTTTGCAATGTTACAAATCTTACCAAATTTTGGTGCATTCAGATATATGTATCTAGATATAATATCTCAGGATACATAGGGTCAAAATTAAGTATAATTCGTTCTAGATACACTATAACCAAGTGAATTCGCATGTACTTGAGATACATAGATAAATATCGCTCGCCTCCCTCCCATATTGCTTGCTACTCTCATATCTCGCTCGTGTATCTGGTATCCCTTATATGTATCACACCATATACATGTATATAGTATGTATCGGGGTACATATTCTTACTCGCCTCTCCCATCTCGCTCACTATTCTCATATATATAACATAAAGTAATTAGCTTAAGATTATTCAATGGTGGGCTTGATTTGAATTGTCTTTAATTAGCAATACTCTTATCCTCCAATATTCTTTTCTTTGCTAGGCTCCTTCGCGCCTTCTTCCCTTATTAATTGTATTTTATTGTATCATTTTTTATTATAGTAATAAAATAATATTAAAATAAGTGATATTTATCATAAAGAGATGTGATTGTAACACTATTTTGTCTAAACAGGCAAGATAAAAGTGATCATAAAGGTTATCCTTTTCGATATTCAACTCAAGTAGTAAAAAAACTAGTTTTTAATTTATTTATTTTATCGGATTTGACTATTAGATACTCGAAATTCATTAGATCAACTTCTTTATCAATAAGAGTTATGATGAAATGAATATCATCTTTCATCTCGAATTCAAATCTTGCATATGAAAAAAATATACTTTTAAAAATGTTCTCTTAAATAGATTTAACGTAATATAATATATTCAATTTAATCTAGCCCTCGATATCAGACATCACATTAAAAATAATGGATCTTGATGAAAAAGTATTAAAATAACTAAGCAGGCGTGCGTGAGTGAGTGTCTTTAGACATCACTTTTGACAAAATTTTATACTCTTATAATTAATTTCTTCTTAATTTTCAAGGTCCCTTTTATAAACTAATTAAGACAATATTATCTTCCAATTTTGTTTTGTATATAATCTTGTATGTTCTTTTAGGATAGCAATTTTTTAATAATTAACAGTGAAAGGTTATAGACTTATAGTAAATAATTATATTCCAAGTGTAGTACATTGTTGAAGACTTGAAGTTTGTCCATTTTTGACGGAAATAACAGCCGCAGATTATTTTTCTTTATTAAATTATACTATATAGTATATATATTCCTTATATTTTTTATTTCAAACTTTGATTTTGAACGTGTTTAATTGAAAGAATTTTTATTAGTAAATTTCTAAAATACACTCTATGCTACTACAACAATACTTATAATATACACGGTTAATAATATAAAGATTTTTTTACATAATTAGGTCATATTTATAAATTGTAAACGGGTAATAATCTGTTTTATTTTCAAGATTATAAATTCCACATTTTAAGAAGCTAGTTATCTATATCCGATATCTTTTGATTGACAAGATAATATATAAAAAATAAATATACACTAATAATATATATATAACTAGGGGCGGAACCGGCATAGGATCACAGGGTTCATCTGAACCCCTATTGACGAAAAATTACATTATTTATATATAATTAAATTTATTTTTATATATATAGTAGATATTGAACTCATTTTTCAACTAGTTCATGTGTTTACTTCTTCAGAACCTTATTCGTGAATATTGTGACTTCGCCGCGGTGTATAACCTAAACTACTAATTATGTTTTCCTTTGGATAACAATTTTCTACTCATTGAAGTCCATATAGTTGACGTAAAAGGCAGCGGCAGACTTGCTTTGCTTTTATAAAATACAATATAGTTACTATTTTATTTTTAAAAAAATTGTCTTTATTGGAATGTGTACTTCAACACAAAGAATTTAAATTAATTATTTTCTACAACACACAAAAATTCTTCTTCTCTATGCTACTATTACTACAACTATATATACACATCAATTAGTGCACTAAAATTCATCAATATCATTTCTTTCTATACTTGCTCCATATCATAATCTACATCTACATATTCAACAAATTAAGCCTTCATAAAAATGTCTTCAAGATCAAAGTTATTATTTAACTATATAGTTTATATTACATCTCAATTAAAATGGGCTTTGAACTATCTCCTCCTTCAATCTTTTTTCTCTCATCCTACTTACAACTTCATCGTCTCCGATATAAATAACGTTATAACACCTCGTGATGAGCTCAATGTTAGGTGTTTTCGTGAGGAGGAAGTGGAGTCGTCATCATCATTATCATTATCATCAGTAGAATGCGCGGTTTGTTTGTGTAAAATAGAAGATGGAGAAGAAGTTAGAGAGTTGAAATGTGAACATTTGTTTCATAAGGTTTGTTTGGATAGATGGATGGGTTGTGGACGTAAAACATGTCCATTGTGTAGAAATTATTTGAAATCACCAGCAGTTTATTCAGAGATTAATCAAGAAGTTATAGTGTTGGATTTGTTTTCGAGAAAATCCAGAAGAAATCGTTGTGAATGGTGGCTACGATAAATGGTGTTTGTGTTCTGCTCGTGGAGAGAGGGATGTGGGAAAGTGGTGTCCTCTTACAGTCTCATATGTGTTCACTTTCGTTTTAGAAGTCAGATTGAATTTTCAATTGGTGCTCGAAGGGTTACGTACTTTCATTCTTTAATTTATATGTTTATTTATTTTGTAAACGAGAATTGTAACCACTTTGCAAAATTCAGTATACAAATTGACGTGCTCGTTTTTCAATTGTGGTCTTAATTAAATATTCTGCCGTTTAATTTTATTTGTTTAGTATTGACTCAACACAATATTTTTTAAGTAGTAGTATCTCAACTATCAATTATTTTCTTTTTGCTATCTAAACTATTGATCACATGTTTAAGTATGAGTTAGTTAAATTAATTAAATGGAAATTAAAGAATCTCCACATGAAGTCAAGAAAAGTGTGCATGTCCAACTATAAAAAAAAAAAAAAAAAAAAAAAGAATTTAAGGGGACTGAACTAAGATCCACTTTGAATTTCAATCAAAAATATCATGTATCATAATAGAAATCGAAGAATAGAAAACTAGAAGAGCAAAGTCATGACTAGTATATGGAAGGATAAATAAGACAATACCCAACTACCTATAGTAGCCTTGTATCTTAATTTGTATATATCCTCCATAATCTCCCAATTGACCTATCAAATAAATTAATCTACGCGCTGTGAATGTCAAAATTGGTTATCTAAGGTTATGTCCTCGATAAGTTGGTCAATGAAATGGTTGAGAACCCAAACGTTTCAAGTTCACAATTCAGCGGAGGAGACAAGAAAATACTATGCGTTTCTTCCCATTTGTCCTAGCCTTGGTGGATAGAATTACCTATACTTGTTGTTGGTGGCAGGTATCCAATGGAATTAATCAAGGTCCGCAAAAGCTAATCTAAACACCACAATCATAAAATAAAATAAAAATTGAAGGGTCGATGTCTTAGTTGATCACATCTTCCCAATATCTATTTGACCTAACTCTGCTTCTATTGAAACCATACATAACCAACTTCTCACCTATCTCCTCTTCAAGTGTCTGAACCATCTCAACATCATTTCCCGCATTTTATCCTCCGCTAAGACTACATTTTAGAATTTATCCAAAGTGGTAAAAAAAAATATTTATTTTTTAGAGGAATGAGGTGGAAAAAGGAAAAAAAAGAAATTGGGTCCTTTGTGATTTCTTGCATTGGCAGTAACCAACGTCCAAAGGCCAAATCTCATCGATTGTGACATTGTAACAAAATATACATAATTCATCAATCTTCATAAACCTATCATCATAATCATAATCAATACAACATTATTGTAAACAAAACAAATATTCCTTCTTGTATATACACACAATATTAAAAAATTATAAAGTTTTTTACATTCTTGATTGTGTACGTGGGAAATTGGGCAGCAAATTTGCAATTTTTTATCCTGTATCTAATGCTTTGTGGATGTTCTCACAATTTGATTCACCTTTTTGGAGTGGGGTTTCCTTAGAAAGGGTAAATTCTACATAATCTTGAATTTCTGTATCTTTTTCTTGATTTGGGTATCTGGATATTCGAATTATTCTGTTTGGTGTTGTGGGTGTTTCTTGAAACTGCATTTGATGATCTGGGGTACTTTTATTTTGGTCATAGTTGCTGGTGATATCATTATTTGGCTGCTTTGTTTAGAAAGATTGAATCTTTTTTACTCTGATAAGGTTCTGCAGTGTGTGGAGGGATTGTTCTTATGAATTATAGCTAAAAAGGAGATATTGTTCTGCTTTAGACCTGTCACTAAATTCTGTGTCCTGTGGCAACATTTTGATTTCGCGTAAAATCTGATATGTTTAAGGTTGAGGTTGAGGTTCTTGTTGTGTTGAAAATCCTAGCTGTTTAACTTGGGAGTGGTGTGTGTGTATACTATGAGTGAATTGGTTGGTGAGTTTGGATAAATTTTGGAATAAGAGGAAGTAATTTACTGCATATTAGGGATCTTAGTTTTATGTCAGCAAGTCTGCATTGTATAAGAAATGTTGTAAATGTAGCTAGCTTTGGTGGTGGTGAGATGTTAAAACTTTAATCATCCACCTCCAAGTTATAGAATTTGTAGTTCCATTATCTGTGACTTCTCTCCTGGCTCGTTACTCTCTTTCGACAAATGTAAATATAGTCTGTCCTAGCCTCACTACCAATCTTATAGACTTATAATGGATTCTTCACCATCTCATGAAGAATCTGCTCCTCCAACTGATGTGGCACCTCCAACGTTTAGTCCTCCGCCTACACCTTCTAGTCCATCTGATAGCTCACCACCACCTCCATCTTCTAGTCCACCTCCTAGTTCACCACCACCTGCATCTTCTAGTCCACCTCCTAGTTCACCTCCACGTGAATCAACTAGTCCACCACCTAGATCACCACCACCTCAATCTTCTAGTCCACCACCAGCCTCACCTCCACCTGAACCAACTCCTCCTTCTCCTGTCAGTTCACCTCCACAAACTTCATCACCTCCCCCTGCATTGTCACCTCCGCCACACGTACAGAATCCAGAACCTCCTCCAGCACCACAATCACATGGAAATTCATCCCCACCACAATCTCCTGAACCTAAAAAAGGTTCATCATCATCTTCACCACCTTCACCACCTTCATCCAACTCACCTGGGGATGGAGGTGGAGGTGGAAATTCACCACCATCCCCAACATCTAAGTCATCAGATAATTCGCCTCCTTCACCAGCCTCAGGCCCTCCTAAAGATTCGCCACCTTCACCAGCTGCATTATCTCCAAGTAACTCACCATCTTCTGATTCACCCTCAAACTCATCAACACCAACATCTGTAATACAATGGTCACCACCACCTCCATCCTCTAATGGTGCACAATCTTCTCTTAATCCTCCTTCATCACAAGTTCCTAGTAACCATAGTTCCGGAAACCGTTCAACAGGAAGTCCAAAGCCTGCTGGTGGCAACAGCAATGGTACTGCAGAGACAGTTTCCATTGGCGTTGTAATTGTTCTTTTTTTGGTTGGTATCATCGGAGCAGTTGCATGGTGCATACGGAAGCGAAAGAAGAAGAATTCTGTCCATTGTAGTGGTTATGTCAAGCCAATCTCTGTGTGCTCCTCTCCAAAATCAGGTAAATTTTCAGAAACTATAAAATCATTCCTTTTAGTTTGTTATTCAGTGCTCAAGATGCTTGCAAGAAAAATCAATGTAATATTTGTAGTTGAGACCTTTCAAGTGAAATCTGAGAAGATGTGAAAGTTGTGTACAGAGTCTGCTTTATTGAAGGTCAATGAATCAACACCTGAGAGAAATGGAACGAGCTCTAATTTCCTCAATTCTCCAGCAGACCCTGGCGGATTCAACAATGCAAAGACATGGTTTACTTATCAAGAACTTGTTGAGGCCACTAATGATTTTTCAGCGAATAATGAATTAGGGAAGGGTGGATTTGGTTCTGTATACAAAGGCTATCTAGCAGATGGAAGATATGTCGCGGTAAAGCAGCTAAATATTGGTGGGAGCCAGGGCGAACGGGAATTTAGAGCTGAAGTTGAAATCATTAGCCGGATACACCATCGTCATTTGGTTTCACTTGTAGGTTATTGCATTTCAGAGAACAAAAGGCTCCTCGTTTATGACTATGTCTCCAATAATACCCTTTACTTCCATCTTCATGGTAAGCATAACATTTGTAGATTTAATTATTTCATTTGTTATGTTTGGTCACTAAGTGAGCTGTTGATACTTGCAAGTTACAGCACAAGGGAGGCCTGTCATGAATTGGCCAACACGTGTTAAAATTGCTGTTGGCGCAGCTCGTGGAATAGCTTATCTGCATGAAGATTGTAATACTGTTCTCTTCCTCAATTCTTATGAGTTATCCATGTTTTATTCACATGATATCTTTCATTGGTTGAACAAACGTCCCCCTTATAGTTAAAAGAGAATGTACAGTTAAAAACTTTACCACAACTTGGAATTAGTTTTAATGATCCCTAAAGCTGTGGCGGGATCATGGATGGCAATCTAAGCTCCACACCTTCTTCCTACTCTTCCTAAAAGCGTACATTAACGAAAGGAAAATAAAAAAGAGAGAGTAAACCAAACATGTAGTAATAATTTTCAGCTCATAGAAGTAGAAGACCTTCCAGTTGGCATTTCCTTTTTGTAATGTAATGATATTACTTATGCAGTTTAGAATTGAGTTCTAAGGTCCTTTTTCATGCCATAAATTACCTCGTTATATAACTTTTTGGCATGAGTGTAAATTATCATATCTGCATTAAGATTGTAATTAGTGTTCTGTTCCTTAATCCTTTTATGTTATCCATGTTTATTTTTATTTCAGTTCGTTTGTATGGCTGAAAAAAATGTCTCCTCTTTCCTGCCCCAAAAGTTAGAGAGAAAGCAGGAGGTCAAAAATGTTACCATATGACGAATCGGATTGTGATATGAGATTGTGTGTTCCTATCATATCACTTACATTCTTTTTATTGATCCCTACTCCACTAGCTGAACAGCTGTGGTAAATTAAATGATGCAATCTGAGCTACTTCCAGAACCAACTTTGTCCTATTATCCCTACAAGAGGACTTGAAGTAAAAAGAGAAAATGGAACGTATAAATAGTTTAAGCTCGATGGAAGTAGAAAGATCTTAGTATTGGATTTCCCTTTGGTAATGTTATAATATAACTTCCGCAATTTAGAATTGTGTCCTCTGTTTTTATGCATCTCGCAAATTATCTCGATTATATGACCTTTTGGCAGTATAAATAATGAATTCTAATCACTTCTCTAATTAGTAACTTAAAAGATGCTTTTGTAGCTGAATGTACCAAATGAGGCTCAAAATCAAACTAAGACTGAACAAAGCATGATTGGTTCCATTGAGAGAACAGAAAAAATTGTATGACTCAGTTCTTTATACATTCTTGTATTGCACCATGTAGTTACATTCCCGAGAAAGAAATATTTTAATCCATGAGCAGGCATAGTCGCCTTGAACATGAGTATATCTTCCACACTGAAGTGAGCGCATCAGGCGCTGCATTTGTAGTGCATTATATGCTTTTCGATTGCCAATATTCACTCTACGACAAGCATTTGAATAAATCTTCACTGATCGAGCCAGGTTGAAAAGTGAGAGAAACATGTTCAACTGCTCTTGTGAAGCATATAGTGAAAAAGCAAGTGACAAACTGGTTTCTCCATATAACTAAGCTGAATGTGTTAATCATCACTGACTTATTATGTTATACTGTTGAATAAGTAATGAAAAGTTAAGAAAAGTAGACCAGGCGACGCGATTGTGATTTTCTATGTTCATTTCCTTCATTTTTGTTACTTGAGCTGCCTTTAATTATATAGTTAAAGTATGATACTCCTTTTTTATTTGGTTCTTAATTAATTCTTTTGGTGTGGATGACAGGTTATCCTCGTATTATTCACAGGGACATTAAGTCATCAAACATTCTTTTAGATGATAACTTTGAGGCCCATGTATGTCTAAGTCTTCGAACTCCTATATCCACATTCTTTGTCTCGCGAGTTGTCTTTTACAATTAATTTACTTTCTACAGGTTGCTGATTTTGGACTAGCTAAATTAGCTCAGGATGCAGAAAGTCATATCACAACACGTGTCGTGGGAACATTTGGGTATGTTTCAGTGTCAACTTTTATATTAAGTGGACAGCATAAGATAAATATTTTATTCCATCTTTTTCAATTTCACATATTTATTCTAATTCCTTAGATCTGACTCAGATACATGGCTCCTGAATATGCATCAACTGGCAAGCTGACTGAAAAATCTGATGTATATTCCTTTGGCGTGGTACTTCTGGAGCTAATTACTGGAAGGAAGTCAGTGGATACATCTCAGCCTTCAGGGCAAGAGAATCTAGTTGAGTGGGTATGTTGTAGCCAATCTATTATTTGTCTTTCTCGAAATCCATATTTTCATCAGGTCTCCTTTATTACCTCTTTGTTAGAAATTTTGACATTAATATCCAACCTAAGGCAATGAAAGTGCATATCAGCATGCAGAGAGAACTTAATTTTTAGTCCTTTTAGCTAGGATAACCTACAAAATTTCATTTGAGTCAGGATTTGGTTGTTCCTCCGTCTTTTCCCATACTGCACAAGAACTTGGTAGCTGATATGTGAAGAAACCGCCATTTTGCTACTGTACAGTAGTAGGCCTCTAGTTGGTCTGCTAGTGAAGTTCCTCTTCTTTATTTTTCCCTTTTTTACCATGAAATGATGCCTTATCCTGGGAAGAATGTGGTTGCAATGCTGTAAGCCTGAAACATTGTGTCTGCATTTTTTTTTAAATTTTACAACAATCAAACAGCTTGATCAAGTTATCCGCTTTAATTTCATTGATCCTTTAATGTTAGAAAACTGAAAAACCATTAACAGTAGCAGCCGAAAACTTGTATCTTTTATCATGCTGAATGTGTGAATTCCATTTACTATAGTTATTTTATTTTCGAACTCTTTCGTTTTCTTGTCGTCAGTGCCTAGTAGCAGTAGCCAGTTTACAAAGCTTTTAATGCCTTGTATTCTGGTACTAGTTTCCACTACTAAATTTGAACCAGGCTTAAAAATAACTACTCCATTATATTGTACTGTAACTTGATTTTTTTGTTGTCCAGGCACGACCTTTGCTTAGTCGAGCACTTCAAAAGGAGGAATTTGATCTGTTGGCAGATCCGTGCCTTGAAAAAAACTACGTTGGCATGGAGATGTTCCGAATGATTGAGGCTGCTGCATCTTGCGTGCGTCACTCATCTGCAAAGAGACCAGCAATGGGACAGGTAACTCTTGTTCTGTTATATTGAAAACCTATGCAAAAGACACCTTCAAGACTCTTCTTGTGAAGGGCATTTACAACATTCTGAATTCTGATCATGGTTATGCTTCGTAGATCATGAGAGCTTTCGATGGTATGGCTATACAAGATCTGTCAAACGGGATGAAAGTTGGTGAAAGTGCAATACATAGCGCTGCACTACAATCTGCAGAAATAAGTTGGTTTAGGAAAATGGCATTCGGTAAGCAAGATTTTAGTTCGGATTTTTTCAGCGAAAGTAATCAGAATAATAGAGAGTCAAATGAACATCCTTAGAGGATTTTATAGAACAAAAGGGCTTATTGAAGCTATGTATGCATCTGTTGATACATCAAAGGTACCTTATTAGCTTAGAGATGCCTTGGTTTAGCTTTCATATGTATAAGTTCCCTTTTGGCTTTGAGTAATTTTCACTATAACTAGTCTACTTCCCTTTGAATGATAAAAAGTCAGAAAGATTGAGAAATAGAACTATTTGATTTCATTCGTTCTTAATAGCCACGAGATGATCATCTTACGGTGATTCTTTTTGTCGATGAATACTCTTATTATACTCGTAACCTTTGAAGGATCCTTCGTAATGATCCGTGAAAGCGATACATAAAGATTCATCATGATTCACGTCATTTCATTAGTATTTAGGGGCCACTCAACATGAATTAGATGATTTTTTTCAATTTTGTGTTTAGTTAATTATTATTTTTTGCAAAATTTTTAGAGGATCCTTCGTAATTATCCGTGAAAATGATACGTAAAGTCTCATCATGATTTGCGTCATTTTATTAGCATTTAGGGGACACTCAAAATGAATTAGACGATTTTTTCAATTTTTCGTGTGTTAGTTAATTTTATTTTTTTGGTGATATAGCTTTGAGACACTTTTTTTGCAAAACCTTCACAGGACCCTCCATAATAATCTGAGGAGTGGTACGTATAGTCTCACCATGATCCGCGATTCTTTTTTATTGCATTTAGTGGCCGATTTTCCTAGTTTTCCGTGTGTGTTAGTCCATGAATTTTTTTAATGATATGATTTTCGGACACTTTTTTTTTGCAAAACCTTTACAAGACTCTCTGTAATGACTTGAGGGAGTGGTATGTATAGCCGCACCATGATCTGCACCTTTTTTTTTAAGTATTTAGAGGCCAGTCAAAAGTAATTAGGTGATTTTCTCAATGTTTCGTGTGTTTACAAACCTCCGGGGTAATTTTTATTCACGGCACAATTAAGTGATTTTACGCCATGGCATTTTACGACATATTTTGGCATTTAGGGGTCAAATACACTAAAACAGGGAGAGAGGCGAGGGAGATGGGGAAAAAGGTGAACATGGTTTGTTTATGTATCTCATATACATGTGAATCCACTTGGATACTGTGTATCTGAAACAAATTACACTTAATTTTGAACTCATATATTTCGAGATATATGTATCTAAACATATCTAGACGCAACAAAATCTGGTAAAATTTATAATATTGCAAACTAGAGTGTATCTAAATAATTAGCTTCTAAATTAATGAGATTTTTATGTAAGTTTCTCTTTATTTTTTCCCTACCTTTTTGTTGTAGCTCTACCTGTATCATCAGGAACGACTCAATGCCTTTAAAATGAGGCATCCACCTCATCCCCCCCCCCCCAATTTGAAGTTCCTCCAATTTTTTTAATAATAATAAATTTATCATAAGTCTTATTTAACAAAAAAAAATATACTATATCTTTTAATTCATTTGTCTTTTTTTAGTTCGTTTCAAAATATTAAAGAACATTTTTTTTGGTCAATTTTTTAATTTAACTTCCACATGATATCAAGATTAAAAAATATTTACTTATATATATAGTTTAAGACCATAGAAAAATTAAAGTTTTTTTATTAAATAAAAATAACTTTGCATCTCAAAAATAATTAAAAATTAGCCCTCCTATTTATATTTGAATTTAAACTACTAATCAACTTAAGCCGCCTCACTCATATCTTATCTTTCTTATAAATTTATCATTCAAATAGTTGATGAGACAACAATACAATCTATCAAAACTTTATAATCATTAAAAAAAATACAATACAAGATAATACAAATATAATATATTATGATACAATACGTAACATTCATCCGAACAGCAAATAACTAACCTCTAACAATACTTTCTTTCATTATCCTCTGTTTCTCCTTCCTCTTTTCCTCCACCAATTCCAATCTCCATAACCAAAAAAAAAAAAAAAAAAAAAAAAAACTTTGACATTTTCCTTCCCATTTTCTTCTTCCCCTTTTTCTATACAATGATGACAACTCTCAAATCTGATCAACTCAAACAGCTAAAAGACATATTTATGCGTTTCGATCTCGACGGCGACGGCAGCCTAACTCAGCTAGAACTCGCCGCACTCCTCCGTTCCCTCGGCCTCAAACCCGGTTGCGGCGATCAACTCCACGTTTTACTCGCTAAAATTGATCATAACGGCAATGGATCTATTGAATTTGACGAACTTGTAGATGCAATTATGCCTGATATGAATGAAGATATATTGATCAATCAGGATCAGCTAATGGAGCTTTTCCAATCGTTCGATCGCGACGGTAATGGCTACACAAATGCCCCCG